GATTCAGCGCTGGATCGGAGACCCGCAGCAGCGCTGGAGAGAAGGCTGAAAAGGACAGTAAAGAAAATCGGATTAAGAGACATCATTTAAGGTAAGTGCTGAGACTTACCTTAACAAATGTAAAAGTGCTGACAAATTAGACTTTAATGTCACTTTAGGTGTTTGTGAAACAAGGTGACCAGATCATGAAAATGCAACTTGAGGGACCAGAGGGTCCACCAAGGATGGCTGCTGTCAATAGAAAGACTGGGACATCCTCCAAAGACATGCATAGAAAAAGAGGAGAGAAAGCGGATTTCTGATATTTTAGATGTGTAAAAGAGAGCTTGATCTAAAAATTTTTTATCAATGTGTGTTTTTAAAATTAAAACTTTTTATTGATATATTTTGTAATTGTATTGGGGGCAGTTATTTTAGTTCATTACATACACAAACTCTTATTTTTGTTTTGTAGTACTACACAGTGTTTGTTCTTTACTGCTCTTTCTTTCTTTTGCATGTCAGATCTATTAAAATCAATGCACTCCATGACAGCATACTGATTGCATTTTGATTGCTTGCCCTATCTAGTGGCTAATCTATAATTATTTATCTTTTATTAAAATAAAAATATGGAAGAATAAGCACACAAAAAGGTGTATGTGGCATCAGAAATTATAGTACAATCTGCAATAATAATTCAAAGTATGTCATCAGTGAACATATACTATGCTTTCCCTTAATAAGCTGTTGCTTTTTATGGGATTAATGGAAACAAAATCAAAACATGCTACTTGAGCCAGTGTTTTGTATCTCTGACATCAAATTTTAGACTATGGTGGTCTGAATAGCTATATGAACTGCTAGTGTAGTCATTGTAAGGATCACTGATACTGTTTCATTGTTTCAGGATCATTTAAGTTGGGAAACTTAACCACCACCAAAGGGAGGGGGCATAACAGAGTTTTTCCCTTAGCTATCATACCCTTAAAAGATAACTGCACTATAAAAATAGGTGCTCTTTGCCCCTTTGCTCTGAGCTAACTGATCCTACACTTCCCTTCCACACATGTGAACCTACCTATGGAGATCAGACTGTCGCTGCTTCTAGGACTGCAACTAATGATTATTTTCATAATCGATTAGTTGGCCGATTCATTTTTCGATTATTGGATTAAAAAAATTAAATAAATACCATCCTTAATTTAAAACAAAATACACAAATGCAGTGTTACAAACATAAAGATTACTTCAGAATAAAACTGCATGCACAATTTTTTGCAATCGCACTGCACTGGAACGTGCGGCATCATGGTACCGTGCGTTCCAGTGTGGGGGCGATCACACTGTGGGTGTGAGGCATGTTTGGGGTGCCATTGATATGAATGGCACTGCAATGCACCTCCCGCAGCAGAATTTGTCAGGCAGAAACTGAAAATGAATTTTTTCCCACCTTTAACATTTAAAAAAAAAAATTGTATTGTAAGAACATGGCACTTAAATAGCTTCAGTCATGGAATGACAGCTGCCAGTGGCAACATTCCACAGATAGCAGGTGAATTTAAATACAGCAGGTAATGGGCTTGTGCAATAGCCGGCCTGTTATTGGCCATTTCAAATTTAATAGCCCACTGCTTGCTGTGCCCTCCTCCCAGTATGGAGGGGAGAGATATAGGGGATCCAAAGAACCAATTGATAATGAGAATAGTTGACAACTATTCTCATTATCGAATTAATCAATTAGTGGCTTGCTGCTTCTGTTCTCTATTTACATCCCAAGCCACAAGTTCTCCCTCTACCGGCCGTGCAGGTGCATTACAGCACCATAGACTTTTACGTGGCTCGTCTACCTTCATATCCCATCTCTCTAGGTGTTCTCAAAAGCTAAATTATACTTACCTAGAAACCGTGAACACTAATATCTATGCTGAGCTTCAGCAGTTTCACTTATATGTATGCCATAGGTTCAGTGCAACAAAAACCAGATTCAGTCATACTTAACGTTCTAAAATAATTTCACAAAAGAAAATTCAGTTTGTATTTCCAAAGACATTGCATTGTATATTTTTAACATTAATGGTCACAAATTACACAACTCACAACAAAACCGTACTCACAAACAAGAGAAGAGATATAAGCTGACAGGCAGTGTGCATCCACTGGACGATTCCTGTGTGCTGATGACGTTAACGCGTTTCCGGGGCACGCCCCCTTCGTTATATCTCTTCTCTTGTTTGTGAGTATGGTTTTGTTTTTATCTCATGCTTACTGAAAGAAAAAAAAAAATTGACCTGCACCAGGAAAGGCGCCCCTTGTGTTTACTTCATAGATCCACAGCTCTCCCGGCTTTCTTTGGGGCAGCATCTTGCAGTATGCCTGAGAGGAATTCTCATTGAGAAAGTGACAGTCTGTGGCGCATCACTGCTTTTTTAATTTATATTTAATATCCCAGCAGAGCAACTATGCACTGAGCTCAGTGCTGATGTGACAGGGAAGGGAGAGTGCATTGCAAATGTGCAGCGGGAAAGTGTTTATTCCATGCCTGTTCCTGAAATGATAAGGGCACACTTAACATACTGTCCATCCTAGCTTACATGCAAACCTACATGCATGTAATTAAAACAAAGCTCCATCTGTCTCTAAAAAAAAAATATATATATATTATTTGTAAACAAATGGGGCCTAATAATGTAGTTGTGCGGGTCCCATATAAAATTGGTATCTTCCTGGAGTACATGAAGCAAGGTTTTGACCTCACTTCCTTGCTCCCAACTGCCTCCTTTATTTTACTACTTAGATTTCCATTTGGAAGTAAGAAGAGAGTACACTTATGTAATCATACGTGCATTGTGCTTTTATAAAGTCACTCCTTTGCTCCTAATGTGACCTACGGTAAATATTTATGTGGCCCATCAGGACTTTATCTGTGGAAATGGTTGTAAAAACAAGAAACACCTTAGTTTTTATTGTATAATATGAAGAGCACTGGTGCTTTAAAATATGCTACATCCTCAAAAACGTGTTTACTGTTCAAATAACTCTAATTGTATTGTGATGTGACTTGTACCTGTACTCTGCATTATTCAGTTTAAAGGAGAAATGTTTACCAGTTTCCTCACACAATAGCTGTATTACCTCAGCATTCCTGAGTTATCTCTTGCAGCTGCATGTCTCAGTTCTTCTCTGGCTCAATGACATGGAAATCACTGTGCTAAATGTAGCTCAAAATGAATTGGAGCTGTGCATCATGTGGGTTGTCGCCACCTGGTCTGGTAGAAAACTTCTGCCTAGAATCTGGAGGATGTAAGAACACTTAGGAGATTGAACATAAAACTTTGATCACTCTTTTGGCTATAAACCCAGAGAAAATATTTTTGCAGACCAAAACAAGCCAATTGTGTTGCAAACAAGCTATGCTATATCCCTAAAACTGGGATGTGTTCATTTCATAACAGTGTTGACTTAAAATGAACTTAATAGAGATCATAATCTGGTTGCATAAGCTTCATTTAATGTCAACCCCGGGAAACTGAACCAATTTTATTTTTATATCCCTGCTTCTGGCAGTCCCTTTGCATTGTGGACTTGCTGTGTCAGATGTGGGAGGGATAATATGTCCTGGCGGCACATGTGTCATGGTAAAATGTGCAGCGTTCATAAACTGCGCCTGTGCCACTGGGCCAGTATTTTCCATAGAGTTTAAACATTTGATTGTTTCTCATGGCAGAATTACTCTTACACCTTTTTTTTTAGAGATGCAGGTAACAGCCCTGGTGCAATACTGGCATGGTTTTGCTCAGTGCCTAGGCTTATGCAGGTGGTAGCTTCAGTACTGCTCTGACAAATGTGCAAACTAGCATGCTGCTATACCAGCCTTAGCAGGACTCAGGAGAAGAGGGCACAACTCATTCTCTGAGTGCAACCACATATCAGTTGACTCCCCTCCTCACTCCTCTGCCACTACTCACTGCTTCGCATAGCACACCAGTGTCTTTCTCTCTCTCTCCCCCTCTTTCTCTCTCTCCTTCTTTCTCTCTCTCTCTCTCTCCTTTTGTTATTACCTCGGTGTTCGTTAAAAGTGTAATTGGAGTAAAAGGCACACTTATCTGGGTGTACTTAACAAGCGTTTTCTCTTTGCTGTAACAGCTTTTTTTTTATCAAACGACTGCATACACTCGTGTTAGCAGGTGATACAACAGCCAGTTGTACTTCTTGTGTATGGATCAATGTGACCATCTCTAGGAATATACTTTTCTCATCTAATCTCTAGTCCAGAGTGTCTCAGCTGTTTCTGGGGTTACTCGGCAAATGTACTGTGCTCCTCAAGATATGGGAAAAACCATCTTGCTATCACATGATGGGCAGGCCCGGATTCCCCACAAGACCACCGAGGCCTGGCCTCGGGGCGGCAGGGCGCAGAGGGCGGCAGCGATGTCCTTGTAGGGAAGTTTCCGGCCGTTGGGTGGTAAGTTGCCCTCTCTACATTTAGTCCTGCTTTGCACAAGCAGGACTAAATGTAGAGTGAGGCATCCGATTGTTCGTTTACATGTGAACTCGGCGAGCAGAGCGGCAGGGTTAAAACTAACCCTGCCACTCCGTGTATACAGTGAGAGTGGAGAGCTGTGCAAGTATAGCATATTGCAAACACTGAAATGGATTGTTTTGCAAATGTATACTTACTGTGGAACAACAGCAGTCTGGATTCTAGTATTAAAAATGTATCTATGAGCTGGTTGTGCCCTATAGGGTTGTGAATGAGTGATGTCAACTTCTCTGTTGGCACACAAAATGTGCAAGTTGCAGCATACTTAAGACTGAAACATTTGTTACTCGATTCACTGCTTTTATTAGAGGAGATTATTTGTGTTTATTTACTTTGTTTTGTAATAACAAGATGGGAAAACCACTACGCTTGGCATGTCTACTGAATCAATAGTTCTGATGCACTGAGATGAACCTTGTTTAAATGTGTTGTATGTGAAGAGAAATGGATTTACTTATGTATTTTCTTTTCTCTGCAGACGTCTTGCAGGAAATGATTTGACATACATCCCCAAGGGAGCTTTTGCTGGACTCAACAATCTCAAAGTTCTGTAAGTAGACTGATCATTTGGAGTACATACTTCCAAATACTATTCTCAATTGTTGTCAGCCTCTAATTACACTACTATAGCTAATAGTTTCTCTGTAGATATAAAGTAAATATACAGTAAAAGTGTTTAATGCTGGTCACATTATTCACATTAAGCTGTAGCATCTTCTGTTTGCTCAGTCTCTCATTGCTGCCCTCTCTGCCACAGCTATTTCTGAGTTCCCAGACTCCGCTTTGGCCATTGAGTGGCCACTAATGATGTAACTCCTGCATAGGAGTTACATCCTCCTACCTTAGGCCCATTCATGCTATCTTAGAGAGAAACCAAGAATAAAAATCTGCTAGAGAAAAGAGGAAGCTTCATTCACAAGTGCATTGCTTACCGTTTCCACATGCCTTGTAGAGGTGGTAAGGCCGTTACCGTGCCTTGTAGAGGTGCCTGGACCAGAGTGGCGTCACATTCTGGCTCCAGGCAACTCTACAGGGTGTGCAAGGGAGCTGTACAAGCAATGCACATATAGATGGAGCTCAGTCACAGCACAGCAGCCCACACTGGACCCCAGGGTAAGGATCCATTCCAGTTCTTGAAAGGTAAGGAGACTGGGTGGATCTTAAAATAAATGAAAATAAACTTAAAATTCATCAATCAGCCCTGTATACATGCTTCCCTTGTATGCAGGATTCAACAAACATAACAGATTACATCAAGGGTATAAAAAAACAACAAATTTTACGGATATAGTATATAGTGGTGGTTGTGGATATCGACACAAAAACACTAGATGCCAGTGAGAATACTGCCACAAAAGCACTACACACAGACAAGTGGGGAAGGGTGAGAGCCTACAATTTAATTGCTTTGTGGGAGATTTGTCCTCACTTTCGGTCTATTTAATGGCTGTCAAAGAGCAGGAAATGAGGGGTGATCCCCGAAACAGGGACACAGGTAGCAATGAAGGAGATTTCACTTCACTTTCTGTTCACATGACAGAGAAGTCAGACGGGGAAGAAAATAGAAATCTCCTCTATGGCAAAAGACAGTATTAAAAAAAAGAACATGCCATTTTTTGGACTGTGTACTGAGGGTAATGGTATGCAGATCTATGAATACCGATTTTAACAGAGCATGATTCCGGGCTGTAACCTCAGACATATTAACATTAGTGTAAATAAATCGTACAATAACACTGGGACACTGACTGTGAAACTGCTATTATGCAGCAGTTACTGCCACAGTCTTAAGAATATTTTCCTTTGAAAATGCAGCTGAGTAAATAGGTCTATATGGTGTGTTGTCTTTGCCATTGTGCTTCTGGCATCAGCTTCTGAACACATCTTCTAAACAGGTGAGTGCCTGCCGACCTACAGGAATCTGCATGTTAATGCACCCTCCTATAGTTTATCTTTAGCTCCCAGGACCTTACCCAGAGTTCACAGACTGGTGTTTAAACAATTAAAGCTGAGACTGATCCTATTGTTAGCTTTCTGTGCTGACCTAAATATCATGGTTTGGATAATGTACATGAAGAAAGCTACAAAGACTTCTCTCTGCAGTATTGTATAGTCATTTAATTTTTTTTTTTTTTTTTACAGGATGTTACAGAATAACCAGTTAAAACAGGTCCCAAGTGATGCATTTCATAATCTCCGCAGTCTACAGTCTCTGTAAGTATAGCAGTCTACAGTCTCTGTAAAATGGATAATAATTAAAATAGTTCTTCTCATCCTTTCTGCTTTATGTTCTTACTATTTCCTTGTCACAGAATATTTTGACTATCAGAGAAGGCATTTTATAGATGTATTTGGTGTCCAGTGCTATTGCCTTCATTTTTTTTTTATTTTTTTTTATCATAGCACAAATCTTTTTTAGTGCTCAAAGAGGCCCAAAACATTTTGTTTCTCAATACAGCAGTTTTTTTTTAGGAATTTGAATTCAGGTGTATTGCGTTCTATGAGCCTATGCACACAGCTACATAAAGATTAGTAAACTTGGAGTGCGTGCAGATCCATAAGAAAAAAATTAGCATCCACGTTCCTGCATATGGACTGTACTTTATGCTCTATGCATGTACATGCTTGTGCTGATATTTACATGCATACAGCTAACAACTGATAACCTTTGTTGCTGGGACGCATGTGGCTACTTGCTGTCTAGCATCTTCTTTGCTGGATGCAGGAGGCTTCTTGCTGCCTTGCATCCTTCATTGCTAGGACACGTCCTTCATTGCTAAGATGCGGGTGGCTCCCTGCTGCCTAGTGTCCTCATTGCTGAGACATCCTCGTTGTTAGCATCCTTGTTGCTAGGATGTACATAGGTTGCTTGCCTCCTAGTGTCCTACATTCCTAGGATGCAGGCAGCTCCAGGCACCTAGCATCCTAGAAACAGCAGTGCACATTCACGCAGAAATGTTACCTGCATACAGTGTACAGACAATAATTTACATATGATCTTTCTGCTAATCATACTCCCATGTGTATAAGCCCTTATAAATATTCTAATAATATTCTGCGTTTTGCTTAGCAGATATCTTGTTTACTAAAGGAAAACTCCACATTTATATACTGACCAAGTAGTCCAGTAACAGTAGCACTGGTTGGGGCAACTGACCACTTTTTAGTCATATTCAAATCTTCTTTAAAAGAAAAATGGAAATTGCTTGAGCATCTTTGTCAGTGTTTTAGTTGGCCACAACCCCTGTCACTGTCTTAGTAGCTGGACGGCATGATCTGCATGTAAATGTGGAGGGAATTATTACGATCTGCAAAATTACTATATACTGAATACTATCTTTACATAAAAACCGAATTCAGTTATTATCAACATTTTATATTTTTTCTGGTGTAGTCTTTTAAAGCTAAACTCTGGTGAAAAAACTTTCATTTATTTATATTGCTCAACAGCCACAAATAAATAAATCCACTTTTAGTATACAAAAAGGCTTTGCAAACCCGGTTATTACCTTGTGAAAGGAGCAGTGACATCATCACCGTGCTGCTCATAGCCTGTGCAGACAGCAGAGCCGTAGGTGGGACCCAGTAGGTTCACATACTACAGGCTACCTGCAGAAAGCTACAAGGGGGCGGATACACAACTGGGGGCCGAAGCTAGCCGAAGGATCGGTCAAAGCTACGGCTACATCCTCCGGCTGCTTCGTGAATAGACCACTTAGTCCCTATGTTCCATTAGCTCCATCTAGTGGCCATAATGCAATATTATATAAAAACATTTGAACATTGATTCAGTTTGTAAAGAACAAAACTAAATAATGCTTGTTTTGACATATATTTGCATTGGCATATATTTTTTACACATTACGAGCATTCAGAGCTCTGTGCATTGTTTATGAATAGAGCCCAAAGTGTAGGAGTTGTTTCATGCTATATTACTGCACTGGTTTGAAAAAAAATACTCCAAGATTCAAGTAGAAAATACATGGGTCTTGTATTAAGGCGCTATTTGTGTAGCCAGGATTTCAGCTTTAAGTAGAACTCCATCCATGTGTAAAACTCAGAGTGGGCAATTTATCAAAATTGGAGCACACAAAATCTGGAGCAGCTGTGCATGACAACCAATCAGCCTCTCTCTTTTATTTTCAAATCTTAACTGAACAAACTGAAGAGAAATTCTGATTGGTTGTCATGGGCAACTGCTCCAAAATCTGTTTGCTCCAGTTTTGATAAATCCCCCCCCCAGAGCGTTTTTAGGAGACTGCAGATGACAAAAGTATACCAGGAGTTTGTGCTTTAGAAATCTGGTGTGGTTTTCAGAATTGGAATTATAGTAGTACAAAAATAAAGATATATTTATCAAAACCATATTGGTAACCATCATTTTTTCTGCAAATGAAATGTGTTGTTGTTTTTTAATTTGACTTTGATTTGAAGTTTATTTCATAGGTAATATACTTTTATATTTGCATTTTTTCAAACACTGATGGTATGTAGTGTTTAAAATCAGTAGGGGTGTTAGAGGTCAATTTTTAAAAGCAATTTAATATATTTCAGGATTAGTGTTTCAAATGGCATAAAGATCCCTTGCCTGGAAAACCACATGTCCCAAGACTCTCTAGATTTTTTGATTACTGGGGGTTCCTTACACAAGGATGTATCATATCTCTAAATCACAAAATGAAGACTCACCATTGGTGGTATAAAAAGTATGGTGTCCAATAACTACATTAAGGAAGAATGACAGTAATCAGTGGGAATGTTAACCAGCTGGGTAGCAGGCGTGAGATGGAATGATAAGGCTTAGAACAGAAAGGCACTATGGCTAAAGGAGGAATATTTGGTGGAAAACTAGGATTGCTTTGTTCATTCAAGCTGGACTGTGCCCCTCACATAAAGGTGTGTGATTTTTAGTTTCCTGTTTCATGCTGTTCACCAGGTGTCTCTTGCATTACAGATTTGCACAAGGAATGCAATTTCTGGAACAAGTTAAACAATTAGTAGGACAGTGGATGGGGTTAAGAGCTTTAAGGCAACAAAGTAGCCTTCACAAAACTTCCGCCCAAATGGATGCTTTTGTTAGATTCTGCATTTGAAGTTGGCATGGTTTTGTGTCCATTGTGTAGTAGGATATGAGAAGATCAGGTAACTCCCATTTAAAGACGAGCAGCTGTGAAATGGTAAATGGTAAACGGCAGTTAACTCACTATCTCCACTGCTATCTTGTCCTTTGTTACTCATCGAAATTAGTTGCATTTCTCCATTATAGAAACATTCCTTAGGGCAACTGAGCTCCCAGCTCTCCAAACAGATACATTGTGGCCCGGAGAGAGACAAGTGTAAGTGATATAGCAAATACATTTTACTTTCTGCCTATATAGGTTTGACACACTACCAAGGCTCTTTTTAATTCATATAATCATATAATGTATGCCTATAATAAAAGTTTCTTCAAAGTAACAGTAGAGATATGTTTAGCTCTTTAGATTTATGTTAAGCATAAAACAGATTAAACATAGAAATCATAATGTTAAAGGACGAGTCCACCCAGAAAGTGTTTCTTCATTTATATGAATGGTAAATTAGGTCACCCGTTGACTTCTCATCATTATTGCTTTCTCTGCAATAGTTCCTAGCTCTGTTCCTGCCCATGCTGTAATTTTGTCTCTCTCCAAGAGCCTCCTATAATTGACTGGTCACTGCTGTTCTCTCCTTCTGCAGGGTGAATGGTCTTGTCTCTGCCCCTCTTGTAGTTTTCTGCAGGCAGCCTGTAGTAGGTGGACCTGATAGGTCCCTCCCACTGCTCTGCTCTGTGCACAGGCTATGTACAAGTGGTCTTAATGGTCTCCTTGGTCTGGTCTCAGTGAGGGGTGGGTTCTGTTTGAGGCAGAGGTACTGATTGGCTGTTTAGGTAGATTTAGCCAGTCAGTTTCTTTGCCTCACACAGCACCCACCCTTCCTGAGGTCAGACATAAAGACTACTCCAGTTGGCAGGTAGCAGCAGAACATTTTTCCCCATTGTTGTGTGGTCCCTAGGCAAGCAAGTGAGCAGAAACCTATCAGTGGGTACACAGACAGCAATAAAATCACCTTTTTCAGTTGATTGGGTGGAGGGCCAGAAATTCAGGTCTAACTTGTTAATTCATGTCTCCATTAGTGATTCTTCCTTTGCAGTCACTGGGACAGCATGTGAGGAGGAATCCCCCTAGCAGTGATAAAAACAGCAATGAAGACCTAACAGAAATCTAACTATTCCCTTTATTTAAAAAAAAAAGAAAAGACTAAGGGGTCTATTCACTCAGCTGCCTACGGCAGCTGAGTGAAAGACCGACCTGAAGTGAGCCAAACGCTGTTTGGCTATTCACTTCAGGTTTGTACGGCGGATTTCAGCCGTATATCGGCTGAAATCAGCCGTACATCGGCTGGCTTTGTGTGACTTCGGGTCGGCCGAACATGCTGAGTATGTTCGGCCGACCCGAAGTGCAGAAGGAGTTCAACTTAGTCGATCCAACATCTGGATCGGCTAACCCGAACCTCCGGCAGGCTACTCGCTGCTGTTCGGTCTATTCTTATAGATGCCGAACAGCAGTGAGTAAATAGCAGAGTGCTGCTGAGCTAGTTAAAAAAGTAGAAAAAAAATAGAAAACGATTGTGCGGAGCTAGCAATGACAGCTAGCTCTGCCCAACTGTTTTCTATTGGCTACCGTCAAAAGAAAGAAAAAAAAAATGAATTTTGCCATAGGAATGCATTGCTAGATTCCTATTGGCTATTTCAATTTGCAATAGCCAATAACAAACTAGCTATTGCACCCGCCCTCTGCTGCTGTCAATCACTAGTGGGGACCTGATGAAGAACTGCAGCAGTGGGCGGGTGCAATAGCTTGTTTGCTATTGGCTATTGCAAATTGAAATAGCCAATAGGAATCTAGCAATGCATTCCTATGGTGAAATGTTCTTTTTTTTTATTCTGAAGCCAGCCAACTGCTCCGTGTCAGAATAAAAAAGAAAAAGCAGTGTTTCTCTACTGGGCGGCCGGGAGTGGGAGACTCCCTGAGCGCCCGGGAGAGTGTCCCTGGAGATCAACTTTAAGTAAACTTATGAAGGTCAACTTTGAGCAAACTTATGGAGATCCACTTTAGGTAAACGTATGGAGATCAACTTTGAGCAGACTTATGGAGATCCACTTTAAGTAAACTTATGGAGATGTAATTTTAGGTTATATACATTTTTTTATCATATGTTTCAGACATTCAGATAATGAACATTGCTGTCCCGAATTCCATTGCATGCAAAGGCTGCTTATTGTGTTGACATTTCAGTAGGCATATTGATGTCCGTTTGAGCTTTTGTAGGTGTTGTGAGATGAAAATCGTGTACAAAAGTACAGCAACATTCTGATATGAGATGTGCCACCTGTATTCCGATAAATCCACAAGATTAATGGTGGATAAAAAGCAGGTATCTACTTTTGAGTTAGCATTAAAACACTTAGAAGCAGCTCATTACATTTGGATGTACAAATGTAGTTTCTATAGCTGTTTATGCAGGAAAATCATAATTTCTGGGTTCGATACACCTAGCTAAAGCTTTTGGTGTGAATGTTAATGTACAAACATAACTGAAAACTAAAAATGAAAAGCTCACAATGCTCCATCCAGTGATGTAACTGTAATTCCTGCCTCGGGATGCATCTGATGGAAACATTTAAACATTTCGGCCTGTCCTTGACCATTTGTTGACAGAACATTGACTTATTTGGATTTATAATCTGCATTTATACAGCAAACACTTGTCAGATTTTTGACACCTATATTTTAATTGCTGCAGAGACCTTGTGAGGTTTCCATTGAGTGGGTGTTACAGGAGCTCTGTTACCAGCTGTGTTTTCTGCTTTTATAAGTGCTACAGGATTGAATCAATTAGTTGCTGATTCAGTCCTTTCTATATTCCACTATGATTATTCAACTTGTACAATAAGATACTGTAGTTGTGCATTTATATATTGAATAAATGCACTATTTATGTAAAATGTTGATACCAGGACGTTTAGTGGTTAAAAAACAAATACTCAAACCTGGTGACTTAGAAGCATAGGAACCAGCTATAACAGCTGTTCCTAGGCTTATAACGTAACAGTGACCAGAACCACCTTTCTGAAATCCTGCAACCAATTTGCAGCCCATCATCTCTCTGTTGTGGGTTTGTAACCATAAAAATACCCATACAAGATTAAAAGACTCATACATTACATGTTTTATGTAAGTCGGTAAAAAGAGGGACGACTGGGTACAGCTGAATTCCAACATTAGTTTTGGATAAAATGGAGAAGGATTAGAATATGTGCCAAGGTACAAATGCTATCTGTCCCTGCTGGGGAGATTTACCCCTCTATTTGTCCTGGTGACAATTGTTACAGAGCCAAAATATGAAGGGAAATACAAAGAGCAAGCGGTGAGGTGAAAAATGTCCAATAGAGACAAATGTTTTGGTGACAACTGCCTAAGATAAAAAGCCCCCTCAGCAGGACACAGTTAGCAAAAAAAATAACCTGATAACAATTTCCTATTCTCTCCGAAATTAACTATTTGTTTGCCGATATCTATATTTAATATATTAGGGAGTGGTTTTGCAGTCAATTTGGATCATCCCAGAGGTATGGTATTAAGTAGAGGTGCACCAAAATGGAATTTTAAGACCGAAACCGAAAATAAAAAATTTGTCAGGCCGAAACCAAAACAGAATATTTTTTTTTCTAACCTTTTTTAAATTATCATTTTTTTAATTCATTTATTTTTTACTTTACTGTTAGGGGCTCTGGGGAAATCTCAGGGGTCTAAACAGAACCCTATTTCCCTTTGGAAATAGAAAGAGATTGAGGACCTCAATCTCTTTTTCTGCAGCCCCTGTTATGAATGAAGAGGAAGCCTCTATACTCCTGTCCATTCCTAAATTGTCGATATAGTATGAGTTACTATGTCCACAATCATGAATGAACAGGAAGTGATGTAGAGCACGTCCTGTTCATTCATAATTGGGGACACAGTAAACATACTATGTCCTCAATTATTTATAACCACAAAGAGATCAGCTTGATCATTGAGTGCTTCTACTGACTCGCTGTCACGGGAGGCTGAGCAGGCGGTGCAGGGAGGAGAGCTCAGCCTCCTGTGACACTGCTGACAGCTGACTCCTCCCCCGCCCTGCCGGGCTGTCTCCTCTGTGCACCGCTCTCCATCCTGATCTGCCTGTCATAGGAGGAACAGATTCCTCCCTACATGCTTACATGGTCCAGGGGACCAATAAAGAGACAGTATTTATCAAATCTACAAAAATCTTTAGGGGATCAATTGTTCTGCTTACATTTTTGTCAACAAATCCGTATGTTGCTCTGATTTTCTTAATGACATTGAGTATACTTTGTTCTTTCTCTAGGCGCCTGGATGCAAACCACATCAATTATGTGCCACCAAACAGTTTTAATGGTCTTCTGTCTCTCCGTCACCTGTGGCTGGATGACAATACCCTCACTGAGATTCCAGTGAGGGCGCTGGAAAGTCTGCCAGCCTTGCAAGCCATGACCTTGGCATTAAACAAGATTCACCACATACCAGATCATGCCTTCAGAAACCTGTCAAGCCTTGTAGTTCTGTGAGTTTATGTTAACATATTTGCATTTTAGATCAGAAATAATTATTGTAACATAATTCTCTGAAAAATTTGTAACAACAATATAAAATTGCTCTCTGATCTTTAAGATGACTGAAGGATTACCACCCAATTACTGCCATCAGATGCCTAAAACAAAAGGGAGTATATTAAACACAACACTAGCAAGTCATCAAAATAACAAATATTAAATACGAAATGCCTTTCAAACCATCAGTATGAGCATAAAATGACCAAATATTCAGATATAGTCATTATTTTTGGGGGTGTTTGCTCCTGAACTTTCTGTTTAATTAATTTGTTTTACATAAAAAAGTAGGATTTTGTAGAGATGGGCAATGGTAATGGATAACAACATTTTTAAAAATATATTTTTACTATTTTGGCCCAGTTTTCCTTAGTGAAACAAAAAAATTATAATTCAGGAGATATCCATTAATATTCACCATGAAATGAAGGCCCAATTTGTGCTTAAATAAACAAGGTATAATTCACCTGGATACACTGAGTAATTACAAAGATGTTATAGTTTTACTAACAAGTTGCAAAACTGGCGTCAGGCAATAAGGTTTGTTTTACCTTCTGCCATTAAGGGGTTAAATATGCCCTTCAATTATTTTTATTGTTTATATGTTAAAATTCTTACTGACATCACTGGTTTTAGAGAAAATAATCCGCTGCATGACTGTAATTATTGGGTTCATTTATAAAATGGCTGCCAGTTTGCAACAGGTGCACCTAAAAATGGCCCTTCCTAGGAATACATACTGTGGGGGGGGGAAGGGGGAATTTATCAAAACTGGAGCAAACCGAATCTGGAGCAGTTGCCTATAGTAACCAACCAGCTTCTATCTTCAGTTTGTTCAGTTAAGCTTTAAAAATGAAAGAGAGAAGCTGATATTATTATGGGCAACTGCTTCAGATTGTGTCTGCTCCAATTTTGATAAATTCCCCTCTTTGTATTTAAACACCTTAATTTTCCTTTTTTTTTTTCATTCTTCATCACATAATACCTCTTAAAATGCTCTAAATCCATCCTGTTTGGAACATGTACATTTTCACATTATACTTTTTGTATTTTTAATACAACGGTCAGGAAATTGTGTGGTAGCAGGAATTTCCATCACTCTCTGGCGGAAATATTTGCTCAAGTAAAATGTGCCGCAGGCAGACGTTACATTGTTTTTCTTGTTGCTGGAAGCCTCAAGAGACACATAAGACCTTGTCGCTTATTAACATTCACTTACAAGGTTTCTTCTATATGTCCCTGACTTATTGAGAACTTTTTTACTCTCAAATTTAATAAGTTGTTAGTAATATACATGGAATTTTTAAGACAAACCTATTTTTATGGGTTTATGTTTAAATTTAAATTTGAAGAGAGTTAACATTGAAAGGGTAATGTCTCTAACACATTTCCTGTCACCATTTACTCGTATTGAAAAAGCACCTGTCAGTATGGTCAGAGTAAAACTCTGTAGGAAATTTTGTGAAAGAACAACTGACTCCCATAGGGGCCAATGCGATTCTCTATTTCTTAAAGAGAACCTGTCACAGAACCATTAATTTCAACGACAGTCTTCCAATGGGATTATGCAGTATGTGCAATATTTTGTTCATGTTAGTCACTTGTGTAAACAGTCTAAAGCAGGGGTGGGCAACTACGGCCCTTCAGCTGTGCTTTAACTAGAAATGCCAACATGTCTCTGTTGCCCACCCCTGTTCTAAAGCTTTGAGACTTCTGCTGGGTACCACCATCTTGGATGTGATGTTAGCAGCCTCAGAAGGCCTAGAACTGTCATGCAAGAGACACCGTATAGTAGTCCTCTTTGCTTCTCCCCCAACAACTATATAATTATAAATGGAGGTGAAGGAAGGGGTGGAGGAGCTTAGTTAGCAAAGACTGACATTAGACATACCAGAAAAAGAGGACGACTATGATGAGAGAGGGGGACATGTGTCTGTGCTAGGTAATTGACTCTGCCTAAAGTGGCCACATTTGGTAGCCAGTTCAAAAGCACATTGCAAGTAAATAATACAAAAAAATTATGACTAGTAAAAAGCTTCAAGTACGCATTTAAAATACTTGATGTTTCTGTGCTATTTCCTGCAATTTTTTTACGTTGGTGACAGGGTCTCCATGACTAATCCCTTTTTTTTTTTTATGATGGCTTTTACTTTTTCGTGCTCAATGTATTAAAATATGTGCGCCTCATAAACTAGCAGTGTATGGGGGTCCCAGGAACAGTGATGCAGAACAGAGTAAAATAATACAGCACATCTTTAGTACTCATTTTGGGCCCCTAAAACAGCTGCCAATCTTTTTTGAAGGAAGAAAGTGAAAACCTCGGGAGCATGCCCTCCAATAAATTCTTTGGCACTGGTTGACTTGTATACAATAAGTGCATGCTTAAAAACACGTTTCTTTAGAAGCACTCATTGAAGAAGTTTGCCTAGGTTCACTGTGCGCAGCGTGCTGTCTGACTGTGCTTTTAATGTTCCCCTGCAGACATCTCCATAACAATAGGATCTACTCCCTGGGAAAGAAATGCTTTGATGGGCTCCACAGTCTGGAGACTTTGTGAGTTGACCTCTTATTTGTTTCAGTCTTTTCACTGTTTTCATTGATATTCTACAAAGAATAAAAATAGCTGAAAAGCCAAACATGCTTTTTGGATTGCCTAATTGCCAAGTGTTTAGCGCAATTGTTCTTATGATGACTGTATAAAACAGATCCTGTATGTAGAACGAAAAGCTCTGAAATATGCTTACTGGATCTGTTTGAAGCATGATTAATGCAGAAGACCTTACAGCCATTTGCAATTCTTATCTGCGTTTTTTAATGTAATTCTCCCTATCTGGCTTTTTAAAAGTAGCAAAGCTATTTTATGTAAACCCTAACAACTAAAGCTTGCCACCCACTGTTATATTTTTTTAATTCAACCTGCATGCTGAAGGAAAAAATATAACAGTTCCCTTCTTCCACGCTGAACAGCATGGATGGTTGAGTTTCCTGCTCTGTCTTTTGCATTCTGACAGAGGCAGGATACTGGAACAGTAATGGCATCCGATTGGGCCAAAAGTTTTCCATCCAGCACCTTTGATTTTCTGACCGAAGGATGCTGGATGGCAGGGTGGCAACAGGGCCACCCACTGAATGAATTTCCTAGTGTATGGCCAGCAGTGACACTCTCTTTCCATCTGGAGAGTGACTACTTTTGTTGCCTATGGTCCCTGTGTGTGTGTTGTAAAGTAGCCACCGTTCCAAGCTCACTCCTGTGATGGACTACAATCTCAATACAAATTAGTAAACTAAACACGAGATTGTAGTCCATCACAGGAGTGAGCTTGGAGCGGTGGCTACTTTACAACACACACAGGGTCCATGGGGAACAAAAGTAGCCACCCTCCATAAGGAAGGACAGTGTCGGCATGAATTGAGAGATGATTTGAGGTCTACAGCTGAGTGATACACAAATAAGATACATTTTTGTTAATGGTTAAGGTACTTGAATGCATTTTTAAGAAATAAATACTGAGTTTAGATATGCTTCAAATGTATGTATAGAATTGTGTGTAGTTGTTTTACGTGTTGGGCATTGTATATAAGAATATCAGATATGTGCATTTTTTCATGTTTCTTTAGCCTTTCCAGCATCTCTAGATACCCATAGATTGCTCCAGTGACAAGTTAAAAATGTACATTATTCCTAGGTGAAATTAGGTTTTATAGGACCTTTCACAGCAATATTACAACATGACATGTTTTGATATAAATGATGCTACAAATTTGGCAATTTAAAATTTATCAAAATTGTGAGGGGCTGTAGTCTCATTCAGTTGTACCAGTCCTCCAGTAACTATACTTGTCTGCAGCCATATATTACTATTATAGATATATTACTTCGTGTATCACAGTGTTGTGATATTTGGGGAACTTAGCACATATGATGAGCGCTTAAAGACCAGTCTTAAAGCCGTTTTAACATAAAAAGGACAGCATTTTATTTCTTCCGTAACAGAAAAGAGCTTTTCGTCAGCAAACAACATGCAGTCTGCTTATATTTCTGCAAGTAGACAATATAACAATGTCTCACCAACTTAAGATTGTCACATATATTCCATGTGACTCTTCCACACATCCCCTGTGTGTCACAGGCTCACTATGCCTCCTTGGCTGATTCCCAGGTGCCTCAAGCGCACACACAGCCACCTGACTCCACTCTGGCTTCCGGGTGGAGTCCTCCTGACTCCTGAACACAACCTGTCCCTCTTCCCAGCTCTCATGTGCCTGCAGCCCACACCACACCAACTCCTCCCCTTGAGCTCTGTCTGGGCTCTTAATGAGGCTGCTTTTAGCCACCTGATCACTGACAACACCTGACCTCAGGACTGGAGATTTCATCCCGCCCAGAACTCTAAAGGTGCCCATACACTGCTCGAGAGACAAATGCCGAACGGGCCGGTGTGCGCACGCGAACACTGCCCGTTCAGCATTGCGGTCATCGGAAGCCCGCCCCTCTTGCGATGATCGAGAGTGCGATCTGCCTGTCCAAGATGGGCAGATTGTACGTTTTTCTAATCACTTTACAACCATCGCAAGACTAAGGTCTTGCGATGGTTGTATAGTGTATGGCCACCTTAAGAAATCTCCAGAGATCCAGATCCCAGCTACAACCCAGAAAAACCTGAAGAAACTGAAAGGCCAGCTTCTTCCCAGCAAAACTAATTATCTTCTAGAAACTCTCAGCCTCTCTGGCTGAGAGTACTGGGTGTCTGTGTCGCCAGCATCTTCCGTGGCATTGCCACGCACTGCCACAGTGTGTATTATGCTTGCGGATATTTTAAAACATATTTATTGCTGTCTGAACCCCCACTGGAAAAAAATTCCATCATTTGCTGTCCCTCTGACCCCTGAGTACTGGTACAGGAAGCAAAGGGAAAGAGATGTTAGTATAAACCTTACAGTGGTTCTAATCCTTACCAAAGTCTTTCAAAAACAGTAGTTTTTGCAGATAAGTAGTTCATAAAAGGAAATTCTAATCTGCAGAACTCTTAATGATCCTGTTACAAGAGCATTGTCTAACTTGCTTGATTTTGCTGAAATATACTAATGGAGCTAAAATGCTTAACAGGGCAGTTACTCTTGAAATATGCTATTGCTATGTGTGGTTCAGTACCTGCAACTTTGACTGGCCCCGATGACCAAATTGCAAAGGTTTTTAACCCCCTACTAAATAAATGTTAGACTTTTTTTTACATCATGTAAAAAATAAAGTTAGGACACTGGCAGAAAGAAAACGTTGTAAGCCAGGCCCCTTATAACTCCACCTCTACCCAGCATGCATCACTTTTTTGCTGGTGTCCTAGAAGATGTGACGCCTTTTCTTAAGCTCTGCTACCAAAAAAAAAAAGGCAAATTAATATTTTCTTGCTAGCTTTCTAACCCTCATCACTTCAATCAAGTTTTTTTGCTACACTGGTGGTGTCTTTTTTTCCCCCTCTGTGACTTCAATTAAGATTCCACTGCTTGAGCTGGTCTCTCAATAGCAGCTGTCTGGACCCCGCTGGAGGAAACTTTCTAACCTGGAATGTAGGGCTGCAACAACTAATCGACTAAATCGATTACAATCGATTATTGAAAAAGTTGTCAACGTTTTCAATCATCGATTAATCGGCTTTCAATTAGTTGGCCCTGTTCACGGCTCCACACATGCTGCGTGCCGCACCTCGTCCCCACCTCACGCTCGCTGCTGCTAGACCCGCATTCATGCTCCACATGCCGCACCTCCTCCCCTCATCACGCTCACCGCTGCCCTACATCCACGATCGGCACAGGGATGCGGGGAGAAGAAGACATAAGGAGGAGCAGGTGTGAGGGGATGACAGCCGCCGATAGACAGGCCCGATCTCAGAAGCAAGTTGCTTGAAGACTGTTCAGGTAAGACTGCACTTTCCCACACATGATGCTCTATAATGTATTGCTGGGATTTGTATTCCTCTATAGCTGAGGGTACATTGTGCTGTACTGTATAATATACAGAGCAATGTACCATCAGCTATAGAGGAACACAAATCCCAGCAATACATTATGCACTATATGTATAATGTATTGCTGGGATTTGTTGTATTCCTAAATAGCTGGTGGTATTCTGACTTGCGCTGTATAGAGGACTACAAATCCCAGCAATAATACATTATACAGTGCAATGCGGAATACCACCAGCTATAGAGGAGCACTATAAATCCCAGCAATAATACATTATACAGCGCCATGCGGAATTCCACCAGCTATAGAGGAGTACAACAAATCCCAGCAATACTACATTATATAGTGGTGCAATGCCGAATACCACTAGCTATAGAGGACTACAAAACCCAGCAATAGTACATTATGCAGCGCAATGCAGAATACCACCAGCTATAATGTACTATTGCTGGGATTTGTTGTATTCCTCTATAGCTGGTGGTATGCTGCATTGTGCTGTATAATGTACTATTGCTGGGTTTTGTAATCCTCTATAGCCGGTGCCATTCTGGATTCATTGCTGTATAATTTTACACTTTCCATTTCACTATATTGCACACCACACTTTTTTTTTTTTTACTTCCACCGCTCCAAGCTTGCTCCTGTGATGGACTGCAATCTCAATTCAAACTAGTAGTCCCATCACTGGAGCCATTTTTTAAAATGTATTTTATTTTTTAACCGATTAATCGAACTTAATAATTGGCTAACTAATCGATTTTGAAAATAATCGTTAGCTGCAGCTCTACTGGAATGTGACCTTCTGGCACTGGGCTCTGCATTGTGGCACTATCCAGACCTGACTGTACTGTTAGTAAGTCACAGAGTGCTTTAGGCCGGTTAGGCTGAAGCACTAGACGCTACCTCAATGCTGCACCGTTGGATGCCATTTTGAATTTCACACCACTGCCGGTTTACCATGGTAAGGGTTAAGGCTGTGAGATTGAGTGCTGACCTCATCTATTTGATGGAAATCTGACAGAAGAAGGGTTTAGCAATGACAGCCTCATGTTTCCCTTATGACAGCTTTCCTGTAACTGTTTACATTCAGGACATATTTCCTTCCTGCGTTCAAATTTCCAACTTACCTGGTTTATTTGAACAGAAGAACTCTGAAAGTAGAACTTGTTTTAAGCCTGCTGCGATCATTTCCTTTCTTTAGCTCATAAGCGGCACCAGTCAGCTTAAAAAGGCTTAAACAAAGTACATATTTTTTGTTTTTCTGGCGGGTTCTTCCTCAGTGGTAGCACTTTATTTTAGAAGGATTATGCACATAAAAAGTCTGACAGATTCCTAAAGTGATTTATAACTATGTTTATAATAACATGACTATTAAATCCAAAGATGAAGCACAGTTTCCTCCCTAGTAAATAATACAGTGATAAAAGAGAATTGTAGATTTCTAGGGCTAGACCATTCATTTACATACAGGGCATCTAGCATTCACTATACCACATAGAACACATCACATCATTATTTTAACACAGGCAAACAGAAGTGTTATGAGTTATGCTATAATCTGTTTTCAATGTAAGAGATCATATTCTATCAATTTATGTATTTTCTAGTAGAGAAGATAACTTACTAGTTGGTAATAATTCAAATTTATAGAGTACTAGAAATTGTTCACTTTCTTTATTACCTATACCATGTGTGTCGAACACAGAAACAAGCATTATATCCAGTATTAAATGTATTCTTACTGCAGAGTATAGGGGAATAAGGAAGTAGTAACAGGACAGTTTTTAGTCTTCCTACAGATTGACCAAAAGTTGTCACTATTATCACTCAGAGATAAGGCTTGGGACCAGGGGTTTCTATTTACTATGTAGACATACACATTAATGCTGTGCAAGCCTATTGGGTTCCATCAGCCAATCCTTTTTTTTGTTATATTCCTTGTACTTGATTGGGTATTATTTGCAAAGTGAACTTTCACTACATTTGCTAAGCTAAGGGAAACTTCCCTTACAAAGTAAACAGCCTATTTGCATTACTAAATCAATCCCTATGTCTCTTTGTATAATCCAAAAATTAATGTTCAATCACAGCCCTAAGCATGCATAAAGCTACTACTGTCTGATGTCCATGTCCAGCTTTAAGCCTCTCATGCAGAGCATGTTCAGCTGATCGAAGTCAGGAGATTAAGGCTGATTTTAGCTGAAGTACGGCTGAAATCAGCCGTACAGAGCAAAGGGAATAGCCAAACGTCGTTTGGCTCAGTTCACATTGGCTCGGTTACTCGCTCGGCTGCCTTCGGCAGCTTAGTGAATAACCCCCTATGTCTTTGTATAGCTGAGGTTACCTGTATGTTACAGACTGAGATATGGGCCATGACTGCAGATGCAACAAAGAGCGCTGGAACAGGGAAGGTAAGTAATTGTGACTCTGTAAAGCCGATTCTGTTGTTGGAACAAGATTTGGAACATCATAACAGAGTTTATTTGTGTTCCTTCACTTAACATTTTGCAGATGTTATTGTTAGGAAGACAATGCTTGGTACACAATCCACATATATTAAAAAGTATAAAGTAAGTATGTTAAAGGAAATCCATGTTTGCTATTAGTCTTCAACAAAATTGTTACTTGGAGTGTGTAAAACAAACAAAGCCTGTCTAATTTCCAAAATTCTCATTGTAATTGACTTAATGGCTAACTTAACTCTAGGGTGGAACTTATAAACCACAGGTGGCTTATTATGGCTGCTGAGCATTGTCTTCTGAGGACTTACAATGAGCATTATTTTCCTGTGCTTTCTGAGAGACTGGTAGCATTAAAACACCCTCTGCTGGGATTATGTGACATGGCATTAATGGTCTTTTCTCTCTCCTAGAGATCTGAACTACAACAACCTAGATGAATTTCCTGCTGCTATCAAGACTCTCAGGAACCTTAAAGAACTGTAAGTGAAGCAAATGCTGAATGCTGCTACATGTGCACTAGTAGTTATCCTTAAAAATGTAGTGCAGCTTTAGTGTTTAAAGCTATCAACAAATGTCTATAAGTAGGAATTACAATTTATTTATAATAATTAGAGAACTCTAAATGGCGAGCACTGGTGTATGTCAACTTAAATAAATGTATTTACCATTATTGCCATTATCATTTGAATATGTGCAACATAATTTCAACACTGGCATTAGTGTGGGTCTCAGCCCACCTTTGCTAAAAAGGTGCAGTCATGATGGAAATACTAATAGGAACATCCATTTGTTTCTATGAATTAATTACAAAACACTACATTTGTAAGGCACAGGATTGTGCTTTATTAATGTACTCTGTGCTCTGGCGGCTTCAGAACTCTGAAGCTAGCGAAGCACAGACACATTTGTAAAGCCCATCGCTGTTCATTATAAATGTGGGCTGTGCTTTTTTTGGTTATTTTTTTACTGCAGCAAAATCACTGCTTTTTGCAGAAGCCCCTACATTTGGTGTTGGAAATAGAATGCCTTTTAATAACATTTACTGTAATGTATCGATCGGAAACCAACCTTTCGTTGTGTGGTAACAAGCGCATGAAAAGGGTCAAGTAAGCATTTCTGTGTGGGCAAGAGAGAAGCAGGTACAGGGCAAGGGAGAAGCAGGTACAAGGCAAGGGAGAAGAAGGTATAGGGCAAGGGAGAAGCAGGTTCAGGGCAAGGGAGAAGCAGGTTCAGGGCAAGGGAGAAGCAGGTTCAGGGCAAGGGAGAAGCAGGTTCAGGGCAACGGAGAAGCAGGTTCAGGGCAACGGAGAAGCAGGTTCAGGGCAACGGAGAAGCAGGTACAGGACAACGGAGAAGCAGGAACAGGGCAAAAGAGAAGCCGTTGCAAGGCAAGGGAAAAGCAGGTACAAGGCAAGGGAGAAGCAAATACATGGCAAGTGAGAAGCAGGTTCAGGGCAAGGCAGAAGCAGGTTCTGGGCAAGGGAGAAGCAGGTACAGGGCAGGGCAGAAGCATTTTCAGGGCAAGGGAGAAGCAGGTTCAGGGCAAAGGAGAAGCAGGTACAGTGCAAAGGAGAAGCCAGTACAAGACAAGGGAGAAGCAAATACAGGGCAAGTGAGAAGCAGGTTGAGGGCAAGACAGAAGGAGGTACAGGGCAAGACAGAAGGAGGTACAGGGCAAGACAGAAGGAGGTACAGGGCAAGGCAGAAGCAGGTCCAGGGCAAGGCAGAAGCAGGTCCAGGTCAAGGCAGAAGCAGGTCCAGGGCAAGGCAGAAGCAGGTTCAGGGCAAGGCAGAAGCAGGTTCAGGGCAAAGGAGAAGCATGTACAGGGCAAAGGAGAAGCAGGTTTGGGGGAAGGGAGAAGGAGGTACAGGGCAAGGGAGAAGCAAGTTCAGGGCAAAGAAGAAGCAGGTACAAAGCAAGGGAGATGCAAATACAAGGCAAGGGAGAAGCAGGTACAGGGCAAGGGAGAAGCAGGTTCAGGGCAAAGGAGAAGCAGGTCCAGGGCAAAGGAGAAGCAGGTCCAGGGAAAAGGAGAAGCAGGTCCAGGGCAAAGGAGAAGCAGGTACAGGGCAAAGGAGAAGCAGGTACAGGGCAAAGGAGAAGCAGGTACAGGGCAAGGGAGAAGCAGCTGCAGGGCAAAGGAGAAGCAGGTTGAGGACAAAGAAAGGAAAAGCAGGTTCAGGCAAGGGAGAAGCAGGAGCAGGTTAGGGGCAAGGGAGAAGCAGGTTCAGGGCAACTGAGAAGCAGGTTCAGGGCAACGGAGAAGCAGGTTCAGGGCAACGGAGAAGCAGGTACAGGACAACGGAGAAGCAGGAACAGGGCAAAAGAGAAGCCGTTGCAAGGCAAGGGAAAAGCAGGTACAAGGCAAGGGAGAAGCAAATACATGGCAAGTGAGAAGCAGGTTCAGGGCAAGGCAGAAGCAGGTTCTGGGCAAGGGAGAAGCAGGTACAGGGCAGGGCAGAAGCATTTTCAGGGCAAGGGAGAAGCAGGTTCAGGGCAAAGGAGAAGCAGGTACAGTGCAAAGGAGAAGCCAGTACAAGACAAGGGAGAAGCAAATACAGGGCAAGTGAGAAGCAGGTTGAGGGCAAGACAGAAGGAGGTACAGGGCAAGACAGAAGGAGGTACAGGGCAAGACAGAAGGAGGTACAGGGCAAGGCAGAAGCAGGTCCAGGGCAAGGCAGAAGCAGGTCCAGGTCAAGGCAGAAGCAGGTCCAGGGCAAGGCAGAAGCAGGTTCAGGGCAAGGCAGAAGCAGGTTCAGGGCAAAGGAGAAGCATGTACAGGGCAAAGGAGAAGCAGGTTTGGGGGAAGGGAGAAGGAGGTACAGGGCAAGGGAGAAGCAAGTTCAGGGCAAAGAAGAAGCAGGTACAAAGCAAGGGAGATGCAAATACAAGGCAAGGGAGAAGCAGGTACAGGGCAAGGGAGAAGCAGGTTCAGGGCAAAGGAGAAGCAGGTCCAGGGCAAAGGAGAAGCAGGTCCAGGGAAAAGGAGAAGCAGGTCCAGGGCAAAGGAGAAGCAGGTACAGGGCAAAGGAGAAGCAGGTACAGGGCAAAGGAGAAGCAGGTACAGGGCAAGGGAGAAGCAGCTGCAGGGCAAAGGAGAAGCAGGTTGAGGACAAAGAAAGGAAAAGCAGGTTCAGGCAAGGGAGAAGCAGGCACACAGTATGAGAAGCAGGTACAAAGCTCAAATCTCAGACTGTCCCATTGCTGGCTCTTTTGTGGAATACAATTGTGAGCAGACATGTCCCCTCTGTTTCCTTTCCCACCTGAGATCTGTCATTCAGCAGTATAGGCAGCTTTCCAGTTCAGAAAATGTCTGATGCCAATTTTGGTGTATAGAGATGCTTTCTACAAATATAAAATTGTGGAGATATAACCAGTGTGTAATTCCCTAGAAAAGTATCTTTAACTTTGTTTTCATCATATTTATTCGTAGATATATTTATTTTTTCTTACCTTTAGGGGATTC